TTCTAAATACAACGCTCTTAGTCTTCTAGTGTAAGTAGTTTACTTTTTTAAACTTAGAAGTAAACTTATATTTATAATAGTTAAACTAGTTAATAATATCTATCTTCTACTTAACGTAGTTAGCCTTAGTAGTATCTTTACTAGAGAAAACCTTAGGTTTATACTTCTTTAAATAGAAATAGTAATAGTTTAGATTAGTAGTCTCTACTTTAGTATCTAAGATAGAGAAAACGCTATAGTAATAGCGCTTATAATAGCTAGAGAAGTGTATAGAGTAAGAAGTGTCTAACTTATCTCTATTAGAGGTATTAGAGTTATCTAGAGAGATAGTATCTATCTATAAATAATAGAATATATAGTTTTTATAAGTCTTATCTTTAGTAGCCTTAAAGTAAGTCTAGAGGTTAGTAATACTAGTGCTTAAAATCTAGGTATTACGTTTAGTAGTAGTATATACTATAAACTCTTAGTAGTACTAGTCTTTATAAGTTATTTTATAGGTAGTTATATTATAAAAACTTATAGTTATACACTAGAGTTCTTAGTAGTTAATATAAATAAAGCCTTTAATATTATAGAGCTATTTACTAAGCTAAGTAACGTAATAGTTAAACTTAAATAGTTAGTTCTAGAGTTATATAACTTATTTAGTAGACTTATTAAAGTTACTCTTAAAGTCTTTACTTTTATTCTAGGTATTCTAAACTCTAGAAAGTAAAGTTTTTACTTAAGTAACGTATTCTATAAAATAGTTACTAAGGTAGTTAGCGTAAGCGCGCTTATTACTAATATCTACCTATATAAAGCGTAGTTAGTTTATTATATTAGTAATAATTAATAGTAGATTAAGATTAGTACTTATACTCTATAGGTTATCTAGCTTAAGAATCTTATTCTATTAGAAAGGTTTTCTATTAGCGTTTATCTTCTATAACTTAAATATAGTAATATTATCTTTCTAAGAAATAATAAAGAACTTAGAGAGTTAGCGCTTAAAGTATAGTTACTTAGAGAGTATTACTATAGTAATAGGTAAAGTAGTAGGTAAGGTATTATAGAAACCTAGCTTCTACTAGAGACTATACTAGGCGCCTTCTATATCTAAGTTATTATTAGTAATAGTAGTTAGCTATAATAGGCGACGCTGCGCGCTTATAGATAGGTATTAAATAGTGTTTTAGTTACTAGCGCTTTATTTACCTAAAAGAGCCTTAGAGTTACTAAAGGTAATAGACTTCTTACTCTAATAGATAGTAATAGTAGTAGAGAAGTTACTTTTATTATTAAAGTTAGAGAGATTATTAGAGATAGTGTTAATAAACTAAAAGCTATTAGCGTTAGCGTTAGAGTTAAAGTTAAGGTAGGCTTTATTACTATAGAATATAAAGTAGCTAGATACTTATATATTATAGTTCTAGCTTTAGTAGAGGTTCTAGGTATCTAGTAACTATAGAAGGCTACTACTAGAAGTATAGAGAGTAGAAAGTAAGCTTACCTAAAAGTAGCTCTAGAACTATAATAGCTATAATAGAGCTATTATAAATAAAAACGCACTACTAATAGTATAGAAAAACTATTCTAACGTCTAAAACTTCTAGAGTTCTTTAGTAAAGCTAGACTTAGTATAGTTTATAGTAGTAGTAGTGTTACGCTAGTAATAGAGAATAGAAGCTATAGTGTATAGATTCTTAATAGGCTTAGGCGTAATACCTTCTTAGGTCTTAGATATATTATATTAGTAGATAATCTCTATAGTATTTTTAGAGACGTTAGAATTAGAATATAAAGTACTATAACGCTTAATAAAGTCTATAGTAATTACTAGAGCTACTTTTATAAGTTGCGCTAGTAAGTAAGTATATAGTAGACTATAATAATATATAAGAGTTTTATATACGTTAATAATAGAGGTATATAAAATAATAATATTATTATAGTAGAGAGCTTTAGAAGAAGCTATTAGAGGTAAATATATATAGTAGAGATTAGCCTAACGTTAGGCTAATAGGCTTCTAGGCCTAGAACTATTATAATTTTATTAACTTACTTTATATACTATAATATAAAATATTTATAATACTAAATAGAACTAAATAAGTTAAAATAAAAGTAATATAATAAGTATATAATATATAGTATAAAGTATATAGCTAATAAAAGCTTATACTAGCTAGCTTATAAGTAGACTATAATATATTTTCTAGAACGTTAGTATTTTAAACTAGAAGTAGAAAATTATAGTACTATATATAAAGCTATAGTATTATTTTACTTTTATACTAAGATAAAATTTATACTTTAGTAAGTTAATAAATCTAGAAATCTATAATAAAGATTTAATAGTAACTTTAGTTTTTTTCTATTTTAGTATATTTTATATTTCTAGTATTTATCTTAGTAATAATTTATATATATTTATCTTAAATCTATTAAAAAAAGTTTACTTCTAGATTTATTAAAAAGCTTCTATTCTTTAAATAAATATCTTAGAGCTATACTTTACTACTATATATTAGATAGACCTATCTTACGTACCTTAACTACGCGCTTATCTTATTCCCGGAGACGCTAAAGGTTAACAGGCTCAAGAAAACCAACCCGTTCTGCACGTCCTAGATTTCTTTTCACCAGCATCCCCTACGGTATTAAACGTCTTTCTTCGCCCGTAGTTAGTCTTTATCGCGATTACCCTGCACAAATGGCCAGTCAACGCGTCGACGCGAAGGAGGTTGCAGACTTGAACACTGTCATGGGTCGCAACCTTCAGACATGGCCTGGCGCGCGCGACATTGGGATACAAGAAGCCACCCTGAATCCTGAAGCTCGCCATCAAGATGCACAGCACACACACGACAAGCCAAGCCAGCCTGCTCTCGCCCGCGTACTTTCGCGTCGATCGGCAGCTTCATTCGACCCAGGCCCCGCTCCCGATGGTGGCCTCACAGCTTGGACCCAAGTCCTATGCACGCACCTAACTATCCTGACCACCTTTGGCTTCTTCACGTCATTCGGCGTGTATCAGACCTACTACGAAAACACACTCGGCATAGCTTCCTCGACCATTTCCTGGATTGGATCGCTTCAGGTATTCCTTCTCTTCTTCCTCGGCACTTTTACAGGCCGTGCTACGGACGCTGGACTTTTTCGCCCGGTCTACATCGCTGGTGCGTGCTTTCAGCTACTCGGTATCTTTACCTTGGCGGAGAGCAAAAGTGTTTGGCATGTCTTTCTCTCTCAGGGCGTATGTCTGGGAATTGCAAATGGGTTGCAATTCTGTCCGTCCATGGCCCTTGTCTCCACTTACTTTGTCAAGCGTCGTGCTTTTGCGCTGGGCTTCACAGCGCTGGGGTCCTGCACTGGGGGCGTCATTTTCCCGGTTATCGTGCAGCAATGTCTACCCAGCTTAGGCTTTCCATGGACGATACGCATCATCGGCTTTATCATGTTGCTCATGAATGCCATCACCATCGGCTTGTACCGTACCCGGCTCCCTCCCAGGAAAAGCGGTCCATTGGTCGACTGGGCGAGCTTCACGGAACTGCCATATGCTCTGTACTGTGCTGGTGCCTTTTTCAGTTTCTGGGGGTTGTATTTCGCTTTCTTCTACATTGGAAGTTATGCGCGAAATGTTCTTGGTGCCAGTTACCAGCAAAGTATCAATCTGCTTCTCGTGCAAGTATGCATGGGGTTTATCTTTCGCCTACTGCCGACCTACTATGCCGACAAGATCGGTGGGCTTAACGTTCTTATACCGTTCGCGTTTGTCTGTGGTATCATGATGTTCGTATGGATTAGAATCAACTCCATCGTCACCCTGTACGTATTTGCTGTCATATATGGAAGCGGGAGCGCCGTTATCCAGGCGCTTTGGCCTGCGGTGATCGGAAGTATGAGTCAGGAGAGAGATCTGAAGAAGTCTGGGGTGAGGATGGGCATGGCCTTCACCGTGGTGAGTATATCGAGTTTTACAGGTCCGCCACTAGCTGGAGCGATCATCCAGAGCCACAATGGCAACTACACGTATGCGAATGTTTGGGCGGGTCTGTCTTTCTTTGTAGGAGGGTTTCTTTTACTTGCTACTAGGGTGTCGCTGGTAGGCTGGGACTGGAAGGCAAAAGTCTAGAGGTAGCTTGCATCGAGCTTTCCTTGGCCTACCTTTCGTGCGTTGCCGCGATGTGTTCAGGATGACTAGGATTGGGGGGGGTACAAGGGAACATGTTCCGTGCGATCTATGGGAAGATCATGACTTGCGACGTTCTTGCACTATCCTTCCTATTTATCCTTGAGCGTAGTGACCCTTGCTAATAGGCCGGGGTCTTCTCTCTCTTTGTCCATCTTGGCATGCCAATCCGCCTCGGCCTTGGCTGCATTTTTGCGAACCCGCGCAGTGTTCCACTTCATATAATAACAGCAAAGCGGAAAGAAGATTGAGTCTACCACAGCCCAGGCAAATAAGATTCCAAAGTTCAAGCCAACTCGTGGATGCAGATCGAACAGGATTGACCGTGTGAGCTCGACGATATTGTGCATCGGCCAACCATAGCCCCAGCGATAAAAGCTCGGTGCAAGCTCGAGGGCATAAAACCCAGTGGCGACATTGCTGATAACCCAGATAATGAGCCACAACGCCGTCCAAGGGGAGCCCAGCAGCATGGCCATATTCTCGCTCGCAAGGCCAAAAGCAATCATTCCAACCCAATTTCCCATCCAGTATACCAAGAAGGTACCTCTGCCATACGCGTTAGGGTTACCGGCATGCTGATTGTGGGAGGCAGTAGGACGGTCCATGGGCATAAGGTAGGCGAGGCTGACAAAGGAGTAGACGAGAGAGAGAAAGAAGTAAGATGCGACCGTCGCGATGTAGCGCCACACGATAAGCTGATAGAAGTGCAGCGGTGGATGACCTTTGGGCGAGAGGTACTTCAGATGGATGGGTAGGAAGAACGTAAAGCTAAAGAAGGAGATGATGACTAAATAGCGGTGTAAGATATTAGTATATGTCACATGCGGTTCGTACAGGAATATTGCTCACTCAGGTATATAAGGCCAATGCTAACCGCGGGTGTAGCGATAGGCGGTCCAAAGGGGCGCAAGTCGTTGACGGTGAACTCAATGCCGGGAGAGAGAGCTTGAGGTACGATGTCTAGGCGCATGTCCGTAACTGAAACGTTGTTCTGGAGAAGATGTGCGATCCACGCGCGGCCAAATTCGGTGACTACGCGCTTCTGGAGGGTGTTAATACTGGGTACAATGTAAGTCGAGGTGGTAATTTGATCGCGCGCCGAATTATAGATGATCTGGCAGGCACCCAAGGGATCGTAGCTCGCGTTCCCCAGTTTCACTGCGGCATCGAGCATTGCTGTGGCGTTGGAATTCATGATGACGGCCGCCCAGGCATGGAAGTCGTAAACTTTGTTGCGTACGTTCAGCGAGTCGTTGTTGAAGTCTTCGGGAGACGCAAAGGTGTAGCCAGGCACCACGCCATCTTCCTCCATAATGCTGCGAACAGTGCGAGTGACAAACGGACCCACGAAGGGTGCGACCCCGGTAAACGGTGGCTGGCCATCGAAGTCTACAATGGAGATGTTCAGACCCCCCACGTTTGCATTTTGACGAAACAGTGCACCCCAGAAAAGGCAAAGAAAGGCCATGATGGCAATGGCGAGAATGAGATTTGTACGAAGCCAGAGCCTGATCACGTGTAGCCTGACACCGGCCATGGACGAGTGAAAGAACCCGACAGGCGCCTGTTCTTGCACGATCCTGCGGCTACTCTTTGTGCGGCCACGCTGCAGCGTTGTTAGTCTATTGGGAGCGGCGGTGGTGCCATGCACCGTCTCGGTCTTGACACCCGTGGTCTGCTGCTCCAGAGGAGTAGAGCTGGCGGCGGCGGAAGCTTGTATTCCCAGCTCGGACTCGCTAGATGAGTTGGAGTCGTATTCGTGATGATATCGTGGGGCGATCTGACATCCAAGTGTGGAATGAGACATGTTGGGCGCTACCTAGGTATGATTGATTACCTACTGGACATTTTCACTGCTTATATTTCCTGAGGCCCTGACACTTAGTGCTTGCTGTGGGTTGCTGACGGATGTACGCTAAAGTGACGCTAGTTCATTTGCAGTAAGATTATTCGATGGTTCCGTCTCTAGTGAACGCTACCTACCTATGTAGGTACCTACCTAGGTAAGCTTCACTCCCGAAGTCTTGAGTTACCTAGGTACGGCCGATGTGGCTGATGCCAAAATCATTGCTCAGCATTCTAGGTAAACTGATTTGAGCTATTTGAACGGTTCAGTAGAGTTTCCGCTGTGTGAGCCCAACGATCAGAGCTGCGCGTGTGGTTCCCAGATGGTACGAAACCCGAAATCGGTATAGCTTGGTGGCTGACATAAGCCCGGGAGAATCCAGGAGCCACCTGAGCACGGATCCGCTCAATCGCGCCACATGCCAACCGCCCAACTCTCATCATGACGGACGCGGACACCTGTGGCTTCAATTACTGCCTTTGCGGGGAATCGGGCCTTCGGTGCATCGCCTCAGACTCATCTACAGAATAGGCATGTCGGGCAGGGGGCGCAGAGGCGGTCGCAGCGCTAGAGGTGGCAGAGGACGAGGCAGAGGCAAGACGCGAATAGTATGCTACCGCCAAATCGCGAGACAATCGTGAGACAATCGCCACAACCAAACACTACTAAAATATGCGCAGTGGGAGTGGGAAGCATACACGCCTGGCGCCGAGGTGTACGACCAGTTATGGCGCATTCGCAAGGAGCCTGCCACTGTCACCGCACGACTACCTAACGTCTGCCCTATGTCGAACGCACGAACGCGAATACTCCATCGCCGACAGACCGAGGACCGCTTCAAGCGGGAGCTATACACCGTAGAGGTCACATATACGGGCGGACCGGGGAGTGCACGGGACGGTATTGCCCTTACACAGCTTGAGGATGTGGACCTGCAACGCATACTGCAGTTCGTTTCTCCAGCTGAACTGGAACGATATGAAACTGAGCAGTTCAGGCTCGAGGCAGAGGCAGAGGCCATTGCTATGCGCACCGAGGCCGAAGACCTGGCGCGTCGCCAACTGCGAAAGAATGCCAAAGGGCCAAACGCCAGCAAAGGGAGCCGCATGCTCAGCGCGCTCGCCTTCTCTGTAGAGCCGACCCCACGTTCACGGGGTCGACCGAGAGCCACACGCGGAAAATGCAGGGGAAGGGCGAGAGGTGTAGAGCCAACAAGAGGCCTCGTCGTAAGCTCCCAACAGCTCAAGAACGACATGCACGAGCAGCTGGTAGACAGCGAACCTATGGTGTTCGATCGTACAACCGAACACATCGGACAACCCACGCAGACATCGCCCAACACCACACGCTCAGCTTTTGTCGCCAACAGCGCTCTTTCGGTATCACCAATACCCAGGAGAGTATCCATCTCTGTCCCTCGACGGGAACTTTCAGAAGTTTCCGAACCTTCCGAACCAGAAGATGTGGACTACTTAGCGCTCAGCGACAATGATGCAAAATCTACAAGAGGCGACTTACCATCGCTCGCAATCGAGGTTGGGAATGCGGGCAGCAGTAAAGATCGTCCGTTCTCTAGCCCATCCGGGATCGAGAGCACTCTTCCATGTCAACTTCACCCCATCATACCCGCTTTTTCACCGTCTGCTGATAACGTGCTCCAAGAAGCTCCAACGGCAGCTCCATTTTCCGCGCGAGACTCTGGCTCCCCAGCTCCATTGGATTCCAGAGTGGCGGACGTCCTTCTGCAGACAGCGTCTTCCTCTAATTATTCAGCGCTTGTTGCATCAGACCAAAACGACATAATACCCCCACAACCCGCTTCGCCGCAATTTGAATCGGACGGATACGTCGGCAGCCGAATAACATCTATGCGCACATTGTATCCGGGACAACAGTCGCTCGAACACAACAACGAAGACGATGCAGAAGCGGATGCAACGGAAGAGTTTGCTGTAGAGGCCATCGTAGCGCATTTTCACGAGCACGAGAAGGACTACTACCTCGTCAAGTGGGAGGGATACGAAGACAGCCATGATTGGCTTCCTGAAGAAGATCTTGAGGGCGCTGCAGACCTGGTCACTGAATACAAGGAGCGGATTGGATGGAGGAACAAGAAAGTCGAAATAAGATGACATGATGTAACGAATGGGTTGAATGTAGATATGGGCTTCAATCTCTTAGTTGGTCGTCAGAAGACCAGGCATGTTGCCATGTCCCAATGCCTCATCTGCACCGTATCCATGTGCCTGCATCAGACGTTTCGAATTCCATCCACAGGGCCAGTTGAAAGAAGAGTGCGTCTCGAACAGACCCGTGTGTTGATTTGCTTACGTATATTGACTTACCTCCCTTGCTTGTTTCAGATCTGATGATGTCGTCGCAGGATAATGTGGTTCGTGGGGCAACAAAGCTCGTCCCGGTGAACTCGTCAACATTGTAAGTTTGCCACACTGCACACCAACAAGATTGTCCCACCGCGTCATGCTCCTCATCTTCAAGTACTAGTTCCAGGTTCCCATGACGCCCAGGTGAACTCCGAGACGCTCCAAGGATTAGACGTGACGCGAATTGATCGCGCCACACTGCAATGGTCCGCTAGAACCCTGCTCCCGAGGTCTGAAGCATATTGATGATCAAGGCCTTAACAGGCTTCTACGGTAACATAGCAGACTAGGGTGTAAGTTGGTGTATACATTAGATGTAACATATGCAGAACGCGACCGGAGTTCTATAAGCCGCCGGAGCGAGTCACGTGACGCGATGTCTCCAGGGTTCAGCCGAGGTCGTGGCTGAGCTGCAACATGCAACAACACAACACAGCGACCACCGTCACTCTTGTACGCGACACAAGCATGTCGTCTTCTACGCGCTACGCCTACCCCTTTGCCGCCTCTCCCGACATCATTCGCTCGCATCAGAAAGACGCCTACTTCTCCGGCGTGCTTCTCGATCAGCTCTCGACGCTGTTGCGCAAGCTCTATGGCGCGCGCACGTCGCATACGTATGCGTCCGAGACGCGTGTAGCCGGAGAAGTCCTTTACCTCGGTCTGACGACGCTGATAGGGAACCGGACCCTGGGCGAGGAATACACAGACATTGTCCAGGTGGAAAGCGAAAGCGGACGCCTGCCGGCGCTGGGCCGCAGAGCTGGATACATACTCGGCTGCATCTTGGGGCCATATGTGCTCGGGAGGGCATTGCCGGCCTTGAGGCGGCGAGTGCGCGCAAAGCTCGAGGCGAATTTGCGGTGGCATGCACGACAACTGGCACGGGCACAGCATCAGGCACAGCGGAGTGGGAGCAAGACACAGATAGGGCGACCGTTGGGCATGCGCGTACAAAACTACCTACTCCGAAACCTCGACACCATTACATCGCCATCACCCGTGTACGCTCTCTCGTTGGCAACGTTTTACTTCTCCGGGAGCTACTACCACCTCTCAAAACGGATATGGGGGCTCCGGTACATCTTCACGCGCCAGGTGACCGAGGGCGACAATCGCGCAGGCTACGAAGTCCTGGGCGTATTGCTAGTCCTACAGATGGCTGTACAGGCTTACCTACACGTGCACAATACTGTCACCTCTTCGACAGCGGCAGTGGGTGGCGGCCACCCGCAAGGCACGTCGGCCATTGTCGGTGGCGGCGCAGAAGTGTCTCTGGATCCCAATGCTTACAGCGCCAACAACGCGCTACTATTCGACGCAGCGTCGGCGGTGCCCATAGCGGCGCCGTCCGACGTGCAAAAGTGGACACAGACACCAGCGTTGGACAAGGCAAGATACGAGCTGGAGGGGGAGGAAACAATGGGATGGATTGGCGGCGGCAATCGGAAATGTACGCTGTGCCTGGAAGAGATGAAGGATCCGAGTGTGACGACGTGTGGTCATGTCTTCTGTTGGACGTGTATCGGGGACTGGGCGCGGGAGAAGCCCGAATGCCCGCTTTGTAGGCAGACGTGTCTAGTGCAGCATGTGCTCCCGCTGAGGGGGTAGACGGGTGGCGTGTACAATCACAATATCTTCTCGGCCTCATCTATCAGTCGCTCTACCTGGAATGCGCTGTCTCCGCGGGTGAACATGTCGAGAAGCTGGCTGCGGCCCTTGCCCTCTTCCGTCTGCACGTAGAACTTCTGCATGCACATGACGAGCCATCTGGCGTCGTCGACGGATACGCCCCTGTTCTCAGTGACCAAGCCCTGGCCCAGGACCAAGTTGTGGGTCTCGGCGAGCTCGTGGTGGAAGGTGACGGTGGTGTGGGGACTGGCGAACTCGCCCCTGAGCTTGAACTCTGCCAGTGTCGTGAACATGAGCGTGGTGGTATCGACGTGCGGGTGGGAGAACTGGAGATAGTGCAGCTCGGCGGCTTGCTGCGTCTGAGGCGGCTGCTGCGAGGCCGATGGGGCGTCGGCGGGTATCTCGCGGGGGACAGGGAGGACGAACGAGGGGTGCTGTTTGGCGCTGCGAAGGAGCTGGGAGAAGGTGGTGGCGGGGACAGCGAAGTGGATGCTCTGCGGGTTGGCAGCGTGGCGTAGGCGCCACAGGGCCTGGACTTCCTTGCTGGGGAGCGCCTGGACTTTGGCGAGGTCGAGGAACGAGTTGAGCGTCTTGACGCCCGGCGGCGGGGCCGTAGGAGAGCCTGGCGCAGCGGGCGGCGGCGGCGGAGGTGAGGGCCAGGGAGTCTCGGGCGGCGGCGTCAGGGGCGCGGTTGCGCCGGGCACTATGGCCTGCTTGCGCAGCTCCTCGATCTTGTCCTTGTACTGCTCCTTGAGCTCGTCGAGGTCCTTGAGGCCCTGTTGGCGCGCCTTGTGCTCGAGCTTGTCCCGGTACTTGGCGAGGATGCGCTCTTGCGAGTCGTGCGTGGCGAGGAAGCGGACGTCGTGCACCTGCGCCCAGCGGCGCTGGACGGCGCGCGGGCTGGCGAGCGGCTGGCGCAGGGCGTGACGCAGCGTGGGGAGAAGC